TTGTTGCTTTGGCCTCACCAAGCCCCAATTTCCTGAAAATAGAAAATGGCATCAGATTAATGCTGGCTCCCAAATCACACAAAACTTTATCAAAATGACAATTTCCAATTGTGCAAGGAATTGTAAAACACCCTGGATCTTTTAGCTTTGGGGGAAGCTTATTCTGAAGAATTGCAGAACATTCTTCAGTGAGTTTCACAGTCTCATACTCTTCCAATTTCCTCTTGTTAGATAAGATCTCCTTTAGGAATTTAGCATAGCAAGGCATTTGAGCTAAAGCATCTGCAAAAGGAATGTTAATGTGCAATTTCTTAAAAATATCTAGAAACTTAGCAAATTGCTTATCTAGCTTTTGTTGCTTCAATCTATGTGGAAAAGGAATTGGAGGCACATAAGGCTTGACTTCTTCAGATTTTTTCTCTTCCGTTGGAGCTTTCTCTTTTTCACCCTCATTGTCTGAGCTTTCTTCATCTCCAATTTGCTTCCCACTTCTCAATGTTACAGCTTTCACTTGTTCCTTAGGATTTTTTTCAGTACTGCTTGGTAACGCTCCTTGTGCTCTTCTCGAAACTACACTTGCCAATTGACCTACCTGAACCTCTAAATTCCGAATTGATGCACCCTGGTTCTGGACCGCAGCTTCCAAGCTCTTGGTTGCTGTTTCTTAACTTTGAAACCTTGACTCATTAACCGCAATGTATTTTTTCAACAAATCCTCCAAATCTGACTTTTTCTCAAGTGGTTGCTGAAATCCTGGAGGTTGCTTTACTATATTTTGATTGTTACTCCAAGAAAAATTTGGATGATTCTTCCATCCCGGATTATATGTATTGGAGTATGGATTATTTTGCTGCTTATTAAAACCAACAAAGTTAGCATGTTCAGATGAAGAAATAAAAGAATTACCTTCTAGACATTTAGAACTAGGATGTGCTCCCCCACACAAGTCACAATTAATGCTTGTGGCTTGTATAGTTGAGACATTCATCCTAGTTAATTTTTGATTTAAAGCCTCAATTTGTGCTGTCAAAGCAGTAAAAGCATCAACCCCATAAATCCCAACATTTTTCTTAATGTGTGATCTTTCCGAACCCCATTGATAACTATTTGAAGCCATCTCCTCTATGAGGTTATAACCCTCATCAGCATGTTTACTCATTAATGATCCTCCAGCAGCAGCATCAAGCATAGTACAATTATTAGGAAATAAACCATTATAAAAGTGTGTACCTGTAACCATATAGGTAGACCATGATGTGGACACTTCCTGAGTAGCTCTTTGTATCTCTCCCATGCCTCATATAATGACTCCATATCCAGCTGCACAAAAGTGGCAATATCGTTACGCATCTTAGCAGTTTTAGCAGGAGGGAAAAACTTACTTAAAAGTTTTTGAGCCATCATATCCCATGTGGTGATCGACCCAACAGGTAAAGAATTTAACCAATTCTTTGCCTTGTCTCGCAGAGAGAATGGAAAAAGCCTTAATCTAACAGCATCATCAGAAACTCCATTATATTT